CCCCAGCGTGGTGCAGGGGCTTTATAACTAGGCTGTCAGGGAACCAATTGGGGCTGGTCCGGTTGAGGCTTAAGGATGGATTCGGGATGATATGACCAAAGCTAGAGATGCCCTGGTGGCACTGTGGATTAGGTGTTGGGCTGGTAACCACAAAGTTAGCAGTTCGAGCTCACCAGCCACCCTCAAGGAGGAAAATGAGGCTGTCTGCTCTTTTAAAGATAGAGTCTGTCCAATGGCTGGGGGGTTGGTGTTTAGTCGTAGTTGATCCCCAGTTTAAAGCTGGGGATGAGGAGGACTGAGGTGCTGAAGTTAAGTATCCTGATCCGAACTCCATCTGCCGCTGCTCACCCCTTCTTGGCTCACAGCTGCCTCTTCTCCAACCCACCCCTGCCCCTACTACTCCCCTTGCACAAGACCCTGATGCAACCCTGCCCAGCTGGCCCGGGGCGCCCCTCTCTCTGGCAGCAGGCAGTGCCGGGAAAGAGGTGTTGCAGGAGATTTTGCAAGAGTCCAGGGCAGGAAGCGCCAGCCGGTGCAGTTCCCGGAAAGATAAGGGTGACCCCACCCCCGACGCTCCGCCTGGCCTTCTGGCTTCCCCTTCCCTTCCCTTCCCTTTCCCGGACTGTGCTGCCGACCCCGGTCCCAGCCTCACCCAGCCGAGAGCGTGACTCACCTCCTCTCCGTCCTAGCAGCTTGGCTGCAAGCCAGGTCCCTGCCTGTCACTGGAAAGGTTTGCCTTGTGCGACCACTGGCAGCTGGGCGCCCTTTGCTGCCTCCCTATCAAGCCAATGTTGAGGTCTGAGGAAACAAATTGGTTGGAGTAAGGGAAGGGTGGTGATGGTGGTGGTGGTGTGTGTGTGTGTGTGTGTTGTGTGTGTGTGTGGTGTGTAGCATCCTTGACCTTTGGAGGGAAAAGGGACCCCTCAGCCCCCAGGGCAAAATCTGACCCCTCTCACTGAATTTGGTCCCCAGGACAACTGTGTCTAGCAGTGTGGCTGCTCCCTTAGGACCAAGTCACAAGGGGCCTGGCCCCTGACACAGCCACCCTATAGGACAGAGAAGAATTGCCCCATTGGGGTTTCCAAGGCTGTCATCCTTAGTCAGACTCACATCTTTCTCCCAGAATGGCTGGTGGGTTTGAACAGCCCACTTCTACATTAGCAGGCAAGTGCTTAACCACGGTGTCACCAGGGGCTCTCTTTCAGATTCTAGATAGATATAAAACAAATATTAAAACTTTAATGCTAACACATGGGCTGCAAAAATTGTCTTATGTATTCTGGTATGCAATCAGTTAACGTGTGTGTGTGGATAAAGGGGCTCTAATGGTGCTGTGGTCAGGGATTGGGCTGCAAATCCTAAGATTGGTGGTTCAAACCCACCAGCCACTCCTAGGGAGTCCATCTGCTCGGTAAAGAGTTACAGTTTCAGAAACCCCATATAAGGTCACTATGAGTCAAATCCACTTCATAGCCACTGTCAAATTGATTCCAACCCATGCTGTCCTGTGTGACAGGAAGAAATGCTATCTGGTCTTACATCATTCTCATAATTGCTAGCATGTTGGTGTCGTGGTTAGGCATTGGGCTGTGATCTACAAGGTTGGCAGTTCAAAACCACCATCTGCTGTGTGGGAGAAAGTGAGGCTTTCTACTCCAGTAAAGACCTGGGGCAGTTCTACCCTGTCCTAGAGGGTCACTATGATGGCAGAGAGTGAGACTGTGCCAGTCCACCTAACTGAGGGTCTGTCCTCTTGGCCTTGACGGCCCTCTTCCCCATGACGTCTTCCTCTAGTCACTGACACCTCCAGGTGAGTCGGACCCTGCTCTGCTGGAATCCATCTGATTTTCAATAGCTCATTTTCGAAATAAAGTCACCAGGCCTTTCATCTTAATCTGCCTGGGTCTAGAAGTTCCCAGGAAACCTGTTCACCATTCCAGTCTGGTAAAGGTGTTTCCTTCTCCTGTGCCTGGGTCACTGTGAGTTAGCACTCGACCGCACTTAACAGCCACCACAAGCATGCCAGGTATGCTTTCAACCAGAGATAAGGCCAAGGGCAGCACTGGTCACGATGGGCACATAGGGTCGCTCACAGGCCTGATTGGCCATGGCCCTGCATGGCCTCAGACGGGTCACCTCACCTTTACGGCTCCCTCTTGTCCTCTGCTCAGTGGGAAAAGCAATGAGGTCCACCCAGCTCCAAGGGTGTTGAGACAACCACCTTGAGAGGGCTCAGCCTGTTATCCCAGCGAAGTCTACTGGGAGCCGGCACGGGCCTCACTGACCCTGCAGGCCGAGCCTGGCTTATTCTGAAGAAAACCGAGGCTCTGAAAGGGGCCACAACCAAGGGCAAAACAAATTCAGAGGCTGTCTGCCACCCTGCTAAAAGGTCACCTTCTTCCCCAAACCAAACTCACCGCCGTCATGTCCACTCGGACTCGCAGCAGCTAGAACTGCCCCTATGGGTTGCCAAGACCGGAAAGGTTTCGAGGAGTAGAGAGCCTCATCTTTCTCCCGAGGAACGGCCGGCGGTTTCAAACTGCCCACCTCACAATCAGCAGCTCAAAGTGTAACCACGGTCCCACCAGAGCTCCCTTAGTATGGTGTATGACAGTATGTCCTATGTGCCCATCAAGCTGAGGAGTAGATGCGCTGATACGGAAGAGTTTAGTGCTGCACATGAACGTGCTGTATAAATGTTAACTCAGCTTTCAGGTCCATAGCCCCTGAGAGGCAGAGTCCAGAGCTCAGGAAATGTGGGTCCCAGCAGGGGTTAAGGCCGTAATGATTTCTCAAGCAAGTAAGCAGTTGAAAGGCGCGAGCGTGCGCACATACACACACACCATCTGTACACACTGACACCCCTCTGCACACACACCACACACACACAC